GATTTGCGTCAGGTATAAAGTAAAAAAATTATGTCATAAAGTAGTTTTAAAAAAAATGTAGTGTTAATTTTGATTTTTTTTTCTCTACACATGTTCATGAACCATCATCTGTTTATTTATATTTATTTATACCATATATATATATATATATATATATATATATATATATATATATATATATATATATATATATATATATATATGGTATAAATAAATATAAATAAACAGATGATGGTTCATGAACATGTGTAGAGAAAAAAAAATCTAGACTTATTCTCTCTCTCTCTCTCTCTCTTTATATATATATATATATATATATATATATATATATATATATATATATATATATATATATATATATATATATATATATATATATATATATATAGAGAGAGAGAGAGAGAGAGAGAGAGAGAGAGAGAGAGAAAATTTAACGTGTTTACATTATGCAAAATACAACACATTTTAATATATAATAAGTTGAAGATTTAACAAATACATATTACATACGTTTTTAATAGAATTTTAGAATGTTGTCCATAGAGAGAATGAATTTTTTTAACTTAATTTTAAAAACGGGAAGAGTAATAGAAGGATCAAAATTTGGTAATACTATTTTATTCCAAAGATTGGGTGCACGATATGCACCCAATCTTTGGAATAAAATAGTATATATATACAAAATTGATTGAACTTAGTTCTACAAAAAGGTTCATTTAAAAAACTTTTATTTCTTATTGTGTATTTATTTATTGGTTTTAAAGAAACAAGGTCGTTAAAAACAAATAAAGATAAATCGTTTTTCCATATAAAAGTAAAACATAAGACATTAAATATGCTTAGTTTATAAACATCTAGAACCTTCATATAATCAAAAAAATATTTTGAATGTGAAAAGCGATCCGCATAATTAACTACGCAGATTGCATGTTTCTGACGGCGATAAAGATGTTGTAATTTACTTTTATCCGTACTTCCCCAGCCGACGATTGCATAATTTATATAGTTATGTATAAATGAATAATAGAGTTGGGTTAAGTTTTTTTTGTTTAGATAATTTTGGGCTTTGTATAAAATGCCAATATTTTTGGAAATTTTTGCGCTTATATGATCAATATATTTTCTCCAAGTAATATTCTCATCAAGGTAAACACCTAAGAATTTCATAACAGTATCTCTTTTTATTATCGTTTCATCAATATAAATTTGAGGCATATTACTTGGTAAAAAACGTTTTTTTGCGCAGGAGTGAAAGATAATCCATTTTGTTTTGTTAATATTTAAAGTTAATTTATTAGGTTTAAACCAATTAGAAATGTCATTTAGTTCTTTGTTTGTAGTTAAAAAGAGTTCATAAATATCAGTATGGGATAAGAAAAGATTAGTATCATCAGCGAACATTATACTTTTCAATTTGGAAGCTTTGTTTAAGTCGTTTACATAGATTAAAAATAGCAGTGGTCCGAGAATAGAACCTTGTGGAATACCACAGGTTATGCTCAGGGGTTCACTTTGCTGACCATTATTACTATAAACAAGTTGTTTTCGATTTGTTAAATAGCTTTCAACCCATTTTAAGATTCTATTGTTTAAACCATAATGTTTAATTTTTTGGATTAAAATGCGATGATCGACCGTATCAAAAGCTTTTGATAGGTCAATAAAAACACCTAGTGTATATTGGGGTTTTTTAAAAGATTCAGAGATGTTATGTATAATTTGAATAATGGCATGTTCAGTTGAACTCCTTTTTCTGAAACCATACTGGTTGTAATAAAGTAAGTTGTTGTAATTAAAATAAATGTATACCCTATTGAAGATAATTCTTTCTAACATTTTATAAAATATAGAAAGAACAGAGATGGGACGATAATTTTTGATATTGGATCTGTCGCCTTCTTTATGGATAGGGGTAACCCTGGCAAGTTTTAAACGTTTAGGAAAAATACCTTGATGGATAGATGCTCTGAAAATTTTAAAAAGAATATTTTTTAATTGTTCGTAGCAATCTATAACAATATTTCCGTTTATTTCATCTGCACCAGGTGCTTTACTTTTTTTTTAAAGATTTGAAAGCTTTTTCAAACTCATCAAATGATAGTTCATTTGATCATAAAATGAGGTTTGGGTTTTTGGTATTTTACTTGACAAAGCTGATCCAATTTCAGTGAAATATTTATTGAATTTATGAGCTATTATTTGTGGTTTATACAAGCTATTGTTATCGACTTAAAGCATTTGTGGCAAAGAGTTTGAGCATGTTTTTTGTTTTCCAGTAATTTCTTTCAATACTAGACAAGTGCTTTTTTAACTTTATTAATTAATTTTGAATAGTAAGTTTTTTTTTATTTTTTTCGAATTTTTTCGAAAAGATTTTTGTAATCTTTGTAAATTTTTTCGCTAGCTGGTGTTTTTGTTTTTAGATATTTTATGTATAGTTTTTTATCTTAATTGTTTGTATGAAAACGAACTTTTTTCTTATTTTAATTGTTTGTATGAAATTATTTTATCTTATTTTAATTGTTTGTATGAAATAATTGTTTGTATGAAAACGAATTTTTATCTTAATTCTTTGTATGAAAACGAACGGTAAGTAAGGAAATAAAATGTTTTTTTACTATAAGAATTTGTTTTTTTTAAAGAACTTAAACTTTCTCAAGAAATTTGACAATGCTACATATCTACCACCTTTGGATTTGTGAAAATCTAAAAGCGATAATGTTCTCATTAGGGTGGTCAATTAATGCTACATTGTTGCTTCAACAGACTGTATGACAACTATCGCACTGTTCTAAGCACCGATGTTACCGCAATCCAATTAATTTCGGTAATGCGATAAATTTCGATAAATAGGCAAGAAATCAAGGGCGCTTAATTAAAAATGCGATATTTAGTTAGGTAATCGCGATGGTGTCATTTTTATAGAGGGAATGACTGGACGTTTTATTGTAAGTTACTTTTTATCAAATGATTTAGTGCGGTTCAATGCGATTTTTTATCGCTTTTTATCGCACAATTGAAAAAAATTGCTTTTCTGCTAAAATCCAATACGGTAACGCTGGTGTTTAAATTGTTAAAGTTTTTGCGTCTCTATTGTAAGTTACTTTTTATCAAATGATTTAGTGCGGTTCAATGCGATTTTTTATCACTTTTTATCGCACAATTGAAAAAAATTGCTTTTCTGCTAAAATCCAATACGGTAACGCTGGTGTTTAAATTGTTAAAGTTTTTGCGTCTCTGGAAAAACAACAGCCAGTAAGACAGCAGCTTTCAGACATTAAAAACCTATAAAGTGTTTATATAACTGTCCATGTACTATTTTTATGCATAAATAATTGTTTAATCAAATATAAGTACAAATTAATATTGTATTTTTTAAGGTAGCAACATAGATTAAATAAGTTACCACAAGTCAAGATAATGCAGTTTTTGTAAAAACAATCTTACCGTTGACAAAAACTCTGCTGGTTGAGCGAAACAAATAAAAAAAATACAAATACAAAATACGAATATAAAAATACAAAATACGAATATAAAAATCTAACTGTTTTAACTCTTTACAAATTATTAAACAAACCAACAAAAAGTTTAGACTATAAATTATATAAATGGAAATATGTTTTTGAAAGCATGAAAAATATAAATAAAAAAAGATTGGAAACGTTTCTTTATAAAACTTCAAAAAAATAATACTAACAACAAAGCGTGCGAAATTCTATTTAAAAAAACACACTTTTTGTTGCCAACCAACGATAAAATGTTTGATTTTAAAATTAGAAAAGACAAACTTTGCCCACAGTGCAAAATTAAAAATGAAAATATTGCCCACATGCAGAGACGTATTTGAATTTTTGGCGCCCTGGGGCACTGTTCCTTTAAGCGCCCTTTTTTAAGAATAATGTCAACTTTGATATGGGGTGATCATTAAAAAAAAAACATTTTCTATACCAACATATATTAAGTTATATTAATCACTATAGAAAATTATAATTTTCTATGTGAGTTTTGTTTTGCAAATGTATTTATAATGTCATTAAAGTTCATATCTATGGTAAGTACAGATTCTATAGATAGAATTGCTAACCTATTAAGACGATCACTTGTCATTCGCGACCTCAAATAAGATTTAACCCTCTTTAATGCTGAAAATGATCTCTCGGCTGAACAATTGGACGTTGGGCAGCATAGATATATTCTTAATGCTATATCTACATAAGGAAACAGCTCTTGAAGTTTTTCAGTTCTGATCATTTTATAAACATCTATTATAGTTTTAGGTGTTAAGTTTTCAGTTAAACTCATTAAATAACTTCTGAATTGTATACACTCGTTAGAAAATGAAGACGAAAGATCATTTTTATATACATTTTGAAGTACCTCTGCTTTTTTGTAAACTTCTGATGGCGAAAGTTTTATTATTTGAAATAAAAAGTTAAATTTTTTATTGGCTTCATCATAGCACAATTTTCTTCTTTCTAGTTCAGAATGAAGTTTATCAATTATAGCATAATATGTATTAATTCTTAAAGAGTCTCGAATTTTAAAATTTGTTTCTTCTTCTCTTTTTTCATCTGCAGTTAGTTTTCTTTTTCTTTTGCGTATTTTTCGATATGTTTTGTGTCCTGACTTATTTATTGCTCTCTCTTCATAGATATCAAACATACTCCTTAAATCTAATACATATCGAATTAAAGATTCGTATAAACTTACAACTGTTTCTAAATCAATCTCAACTGACTGCAATTGTTTGCTAGTTTTGTTGAATCTCTCTAGTATATCGCCCCATAATGTGGCCATTATAGCTGTTTCAAGACTATCCAGTTTTAAATATAGCCCGTTAGCTTCTGATTTTGTAATAGATTTTTCTGTTTTATCATCTTTGATAAAAGACAGTGCATTAATTATTTCAATCCAATTTTTGTTTAAACTAATACTTGCATCAGATCTTGCTGACCATCTGGTATCTGATAGTTTTTTAAGAGATACATTTTCTGTTTTAATCAAATTCTTCTGAAGTATTTCCCATCTATAAGTAGAGGCACTGAATATTTATAAATATTTTGAAGCAGAATGAAAAATTCAGAAGCATAAATACAACAGTCCACAGCGCACTCACCAACAAGATTTAAAGAGTGTGCCGAGCATGGTACAAATGTTGCTAAAGGATTAACTTTTTTAATGCGAGCTTGAAGTCCTGTGTATCTACCAGACATATTAGACGCATTGTCGTAACTTTGACCACGACAATTATTAATATCTAATCCATGCGATTCTAAAACTAAAAATACAGCATCTGCTAATTCTTCAAATTTATGATCAGAATTAGGTAAAAACCCTAAAAATCTTTCTACCGGACAGCCATTCTTTTGAACATACCAAAAAATGAATGACAGTTGATCTACATGGCTAATGTCAGGAGTAGAATCAATACTGATGGAAAAGTATTCAGCTTCCTTAATTTCTTTCACCATTTGTTGAATAACATTATCTGCCATTATACTTATGAACTGCTCATATATATTAAATGATAGGTATGATGTTGAACCTTTTCCTTTATTTCCAAACTTCTCAATGTGTAGTGCTAAAAAAGGATCAAACTGAGCAATAAGCTCTAAGCTCATCATAAAGTTCCCATTATGAACAGATCCAAAACGGTCATCATCACCTCTAAAAGACATTCCACGAGAAGAAAGGGATTTCACAACAGCTACAACTCTTGTCAATACATTTTTCCAATAATTTATTTCTGTTTCTACTTGATACTTTAGCTTTTGATCAACTCGATTTAATACTTCTTTTCTTTCTTTCATATTCATTACACACAATTTGTGGTGTTGTGAATGTTCATGACGCTTGATTTTTTCTTCTCCTTTTTTCCAATCTGAAAAATCAACTGTGGCAAACGATGTAGTGCCACCAAATAAATAGCAGGGAGCACAAAATATTAATCCTTTACTTTCTGAGTAAATCAAAAATGTTCGGTTAATTTTTTCACCATTAACAAGAGTAGATATAAATATACTTTTTGACATATATCGAAAACGAGTACGTCTTACCCCACCAATTATTTGAGTGTAAATTCTTTTTGACTTTTGGAAATTATTGTTCTCTAAATTTTGGTTAAATCCATTGATTGATAAATAATCTATCGTTTCTTGATTTTTTATCCAATTGGCAGGATCATTTCTAAAGGGAAAATATATTTGTTTAATATACAAAAACCAAAAAATATTATTCAAAGTTTATAACAAATTGTATAAAAAAAACATTCAAGCACTAGGTAATAGAGATAAATGCATAATATAATATAACTAGAGGATATAGGTATCGTTTAAAATGTACAGAGTGTACTATATTTGTTAATAATTTAATTTCCAGCATAATTTTACATGACAAGCGACTTAAAAAAATAGTCTACCTTTGTACATGTTTATAATTGTAACCTACCATGAAAAAAATTAAAAAAGCTTACTCAGGAACAATACTTTGTTTAGGAAGACTGTTATGTTCAACCATTGGCAAACGTGGTGTCCCAGCAGGCACAATGACGTTGAAATAACGTTGAAACAATGTCGCAAACCGACCATATACCACGTTGAAACAACGTTGAAATTTGGATGAATTGGAAATAAAATCCGACGTCGAAAACTACGACGTTGAAACAACGTCGATGATTACGTCGTTCCAACGTTGATCTAACGTCTTATCGACTATATATCAACCATATTTCAACTTTGAATAGGTGATATACTCGATTGATACGTAGTTGATAAGACGTTAGAACAACGTTGAAACAACGTAAATTCAACGTTGATTTTTGTTTTTTATTTTGGTTAAATCCAATTAACTAAAAAATTATCTCAACTTTAATTGCAATAAAACAACACAATAAAAAAGCAATAATTTGCGCAGAGGATATTATATTTCACGTAAATTAATCAGATACAACTAAATTGCTTCAACGGACTTTATATACAATGCAAATAAAGTAAAACGTTTGAAAAAAAAAAGTTTTACTTATCAGTAATATATTTATCAATTTATCAATAATAACTATTATCAATAGTTCCAGAACAACTAGGAAAAAGTATGAATATTATACATCGGGTAAATAGCCTTTTACGCGCCGACCACCACCATTTGATCTGTCGAGTGCGTATTTTAAAAAAGTCATTATTCCCTTACTTATTTCGGCAACTGTAGCAGTCACTTTAATTGACAAAACGCTCTCTATAAAAAAGGTATTGCCTGAGTAACTTACATCAAATACATCAAAAAGTTAAAAAAAAAATTAGCAATAAAAAAACGAACTGTGATTTTTAAAAAATATATAATTTTACACTTAACTTACAAGTAAATACCTAATGTTTGTTCCTATAAACTTCTCTTTACCTTTACCGCCAGCCATATTAAATTTTGATTATAAACCATTGGTTAACTACCTGCATTATACATTGTTATTATTATTATTATAGTTAAATTAAAAATTGATAAACATGTCTTTGACAAAATACAAATTATTCTCAATGAAAAATTGCACAAACAGCAAAGGTTTCTTACCAAACCGTAATGCAAGTAAGAAAAAGAATTGATACAGGGGAAGAGTTTGGTCCAGAGAGACCACCTTCTAAACGCAAGAAAACACCAAGAGCGGCCAGTAAAATCAGAAATATCTGCCTGGAAAAGAGGAAAAAAGCCACTAAGCTTATCCATGATGCTGTAATTGTTGTGCCAGACCGGACCATTTGCATAATAACCCAGAGTTGACAGAAACTATAAAAAATAAATTGCAAGCATGTCACAATGCAATGAAGCAGTAATTGCAAATAAAAGTGTTTTTGCAAAATATTTATACTTTATATATATTTTATATAATTTATCATAATAATCAATAAATATTCAAAATGTTCAACTTTATTTGTTTTTATCAAGTACAACTTTATAAATAAAAGAAAAAACTTTAAATTGAACCATTATTATATATATATAAATATATATATATATATATATATATATATATATATATATATATATATATATATATATATATATATATATATATATATATATATATATATACATATATATATATATATATATATATATATATATATATATATATATATATATATATATATATATTGTTGTTTATTATTGTATCTGGTTGAGATACAAATCCTCTTGTTTACTTGAGAGTGATCAATATAATGTAAAAATAATTTTTACAAAATAGATCAATATATATATATAAATAAAGTGTAATTAAATAGAAAAAATACAACTTTATAATGGAACTAAAAGTTTTAGTTCCATTATAAAGTTGTATTTTTTCTATTTAATTACACTTTATTTATATATATATATATATATATATATATATATATATATATATATATATATATATATATATATATATATATATATTCATATAAGCATATGTATGTATATATACATACATATATGTGTATGTTTATTTATGTGCATATATATGTATGTATATATAGAGTAAAAAAAAAGGTTAAGTGTGCGCTGCAAATCAACCTTTGTAATTTAAGGTTGTTCTTTAGCTCAAGGAAATACAAAAGTAAGAGAAAACAGTTACAAAAAAAGTTATAATCAGACATAAAAAATAAAGATTTATTTTATGTCTGATTAGAATTCGTCAAACTTTTAAAAATATATGCTACACATATTTTTAACACAAGTTTAAAACAAACTATAATAAAAAGACTCAAAAGATTTTTTATTTAAAACTACTTTTAACAAACCTTTGCATCACATTTATTTGTCTTAATGGTTTTACCTCCAATTTTAGAAAGTTTATTAACCTAAAGGTTTAAGAAAATAATTACACAACATTATTTTTATAGTACATTTATAAAAAGTTACAAGTAGATTAACTTAGGCTAAGTTATTAATAAATACTTAATCAAAATACAATAAAAAAAACTGCAAAAAGTCATGGTTTGAAACAACCCATCACTTCTGACCTCAACTAAGAATCATTTAATCATAATCATTAAATTACTGCTGCAAGTTTATCTATAGAATTTTAGAACTATTTGTCATGATATTACTTTAATTACTGGAAAGAGTTTTTACTAACATCTCTTTCTAACAATAAAGATATATCAGAGAGACAAAAAAACCAAACATTAATTAATTTCTAAAAGCATTGAAACACAAGTACAAAAAATTGATAAAATAAAACATTATTCATAAATTAAATTAAATGTATTAATTTAGCAACCAAAGAAATGTGTAAATCACTGAAGCATAGAAAAAAATGTTCAGAATCTTTTCTTCCTATATCAACTTGCAGTCAGATAATTAATACCTTGAGCTACAGTATGTGGAGTATTCATAAAAATTGATTTCTGTTTCTTTTTTTGCGTTACAGGAGTATTTGGTTTCTATTCTGTTGGTTATTATGTTTTTTCTTGCATAAGCATGGTAGTGGCTCCTATAAAAATTAATATCAAAATATAACTAATAATACTTGAATTAAGTATCTTTTGAAATAGTTACCGTTTTCTGAACCTGATTCTATCTGAGTATCACTAGTAGAGGCAAATTTAAATTTATTACATAACTCATGATCTAAGAATATTCATTCAATTTCAAAAATGTTTTAAATACATTATATAATAAAGAATATATAATAAAGAATATATCTAAACACTGAAAACAACATATACAGAATGAAAGCATGTTAAAAAAATAAGGAAAAAAAGTAATGACTTAAGGTTTATATAAAAAAAAAATTACATTATCTCCATGACATTTAATTTTGAGCAGCTTAAATCTGTATTAGTTAGATGCGGTTTATGCATTTCATTGAAACAATTTATTACATTTAATGATGATGGCCAGCACAAAAAAATATCAATCGAATTTTCTCTCTTTATTTCTCTGTATTTTCTATCCAAACAGCTCGAATGAAGATTTGCATGCCCCTCTATACTTTTTCAACTGGCAAAGTATAGTAGAAAATATAATAGAAAAAATACTAATATATAAAAAATTTGTTCATGTAAAATAGCTAACAGAAAAATACAACTTTAAACTGTACGTTATGATACATTACACAGTTGCTAAAATTTGCTAAATTTTTATGTTGATCCTTCTACCAACCAATATTATGGGCTAAAGGAGCATGCACAAATTCTTTTTTATACAACTTTACAAGAAAAATCTTTGAAAAATTTAATAAAAATTTTTTAATATAAAAAATATTCAAACTCTTTAAATCACATGGATTGGTAAAAAAGCTTGATAAATCATTATTTTGTAAAACATCATCCATTATATATATTTATATAATGTATGTATATATACATATTTAGTGTATGTATATATTATATATGCATATTATATATATATATATATATATATATATATATATATATATATATATATATATATATATATATATATATATATATATTTAAATGTGTATATATATATATATATTTAAATGTGTATATATATATATATATATATATATATATATATATATATATATATATATATATAAATATATATATATATATATATATTTTTTTTCTTATTTATATAATATATATATATATATATATATATATATATATATATATATATATATATATATATATATACATATATATATATATATATATATACATGCATATATATATATATATATATATATATATATATATATAATATAAATAAGAAAAAATCATATAATATATATTTTATATTTATATAATATATCAAGTAGTCTCTACTTGTAATCCACACTCATGAAATAATACGGTCATAAAGAAATATCCATTTAATATTTACCTAACTAACTGCATTACAAGTTAAGCCATGTATTATTGTTAAATTGTCAAATTCAAAACCTTATAAAAAGGCAACAGATGACCTAATTTATTAGCATGTGTGACTTTACTTGTTTTTATTGGTCTAATAAGTATCTTGTTAAGTCTTTACTTGTTATTTGTTACGTTGATAAAAAATTTTAAGTCACGTATGCGTAATTTAGTTCTCATATTGCAATTACGAACGATCGAACTCGTAATATAAGACGTTGAATTAACGTGGAATCAACGTCGATTTTATTTGATAGTTTTAAACAAATTTTTCAACGTTGATACAACGTTGATTTTTGGTTATACGACGTCGCGACTTAAATTCAACTGTAAATCAACGTCGAAATAACGTCGTGTGCCCACTGGGGTATCATTTATTTCTTCCAATTCTGTAGACAATAGAGTTTTACTCGTTTCTGTGCTGCTGTTATTTAGTAATATAAGATTGTCTGGATTTGTTAGATTATCTTTATTAACAGTGAATCTGTGATCATTTTGGTTTCTATAAAGAAAAATATAATAAATTTTGTATAACATGCATGTACCAAAAGATATTATTTATAAACTAGCTGTAAGCAACCCGTAATACGGGTTAGTAGTATATAAATCATTACTAACAATTTGATATTTATTTACTTTCTCTAATAAAATATAAATTTATTTATACAGTAAGCAACCCGTAATACGGGTTAGTAGGAAATAAATCATTACTGTCAATTTGATCTTTATTTACTTTCTCTAATGAAATATAAATTTATTTATACATTTTTTTTAGTTGAGCTCACTTTTATTTTTCTTGGCTTCTTAGTTTAAGAGAACTCTTAGCTTCATTAAAGATAAAGTTAACCATAAAATGACTTAAATTATATGCACAGAAAATCGATGTCAAATTTTCCAATTCCGTAAAATAGTTTAGGTAAATATTGGGAATATATTCTACTCTTAATTTTGCTTTAAGCTGAGTCGTTTCTTTATTTTTTAAACTTTTCATTTTACTGAGTGAAGAGCTTCAAAATATGTCACTATCGCACCTGAACCTTTTAAATGTTATTAATATATTTTTTAAAACCTCTAAAATATTACACCCAAACTTGTAGGCATATAAGTTGGATATCCGGAAAAACTATAAGTTGAAAAACATATCGCAATTCCGAAAAAGGCTTACCCTGCATACGAATCCTATCTAAATATTAATAGCCGAATGAATGATAAAGATTATTATTTAAACCAACCTTTTTTTTAATTAGTAATCCAGCAGTAACTTGTTTATAAAAAAACAAAGGAATATATGGATTTACTATAATAGCTAACGTGTATCATATTTATTTCAGCATACATCCAATCCATATTTATACTAATTTTATAAAATACATTTTGCCTTAACTTGGCGTTAGATTATTAGTTTTATTTCATTAATTTTTGTATAGATCAGGTTAATAATAAAAGCAATTGGATTTTACTCAATATTTTTGAAGTAATTATTCAGCTTTAATAAAATTGATAAAATCATAAAAGACAGTTAAAAAATTTATTTAAACCTTTGTTCACTTTTTGAAAATCCGTAAAAAAGCAAGTATCAAGTTTACTTATCTTTAAAAGAAATTTATTTACATGATATATAGCTAAATATGTAACAAAAATATTTTAAAACAGAAGCATATATAAAACACATTTTTCTTAAAAAAACAAAGTTGAAGCCACTATTTACAGCACCGAGGAGCCAAGCATAGCCTATTGTAAAGAAAACCATATCAAATAATTTAAAATATTTATTACCGATAGGGACGACAATTAAACCGATTTACCTGTTTTTGTAACCTTTTGATATTGCAATTAATATAAACATTTATAGAAAAAAGTAGCTATAAAATCTTTTTCGAAGTACTAAAGGATTAACAATACTAAAGGAAAAAAAATCAAATAAAGACATAAATTGAATTTTTAGCAAGATTTTGTCTTGGCTTTTAGTAAATGAATAAAAGCAGCAAGTTCCAATAATGAAACTATCTATTATTCATTTTTAACAATAGACACCAACGGGAAGGTAAGCCAAGCTGTCTATCAACACAAAACATCACAACAATATAACAATATTATACATTATAACAATACATTACAACATTATAACAATAACACATAACATTAACACATATTCACACCTATATAACTAATATTTACACCCTTGACTCTAAAATCCAGTGGAAAATAACAAACTAATTTTAAAAGAATATGAAAGGCAAAACTAAAAAACCAATTTTGAGTTATCTATATTTATCCTTTTACTAAACTTTAATATAGTATATTTGCTTTTATATTCAATATTAGTTATTCAATTATTTTTAAATTTAAGGATCAAGGTTGCATACTCTTTTATACACATTACACAAAACATTACCAGACATTATGTGTTTCCAGAATAATTAAAAAAGCTAGACAACACAACCTAGCTCTAAAGCAGTAACACCGCCTGGCACAAAATGGTGCCAAGTCACACCTCTGCTATAAGTACACCGCTTGGCTGGCAAGGTTAACAATCTTGCTTAACATTTTGCCAAGTCACACCACTTTGAAAACATGGAAACAACATAATGTAAACATATATACAACTATAAACAAATATGACTTCATATAACACATATAAACACAATATATATAACAATATTAAATGACATATATATTTATCAAAAACTATGAAAAAAATAAAAATATTAAAGTTACACATACAAAATGTGCTCACAACCTACAAACAGTAAATTTTAGAAATGAAAATATTAAGACTATAAATTAAGAACATTAGAAAATATAACATTATTTGTGTAGTATTTTTCACCTACCATACCTTGAATAGGATGTTTATCAATTTTGAAAAACAAACTATTAAATGCTCTAGTTCTTGAACATGCAACGTATAGTTGACCATGGGAGAAACACGGTTTTTTTAGATATACCCTAACTCTATCAAATGTTTGACCTTGACTTTTATTGATTGTCATCGAATAAGCTAATCTGACAAGAAACTGACGACGTTTTAGAACAAAAGGTAAATTAGAATCTGATGGAGCCAACTGAATTCGAGGAACAAATACCCGTTTACCTTCAGAAACACCTGTCAAAACCTCTGCATCAATATAATTGTTTTGGAGAGCACAAACTTTCATTCGGGTTCCATTACATAGCCCAGCTTTAAGATCTAAATTTCTAAGTAGCATAATTACACAACCAATTTTCAATTTTAAACAATGAGTAGGCATACCTGAAGGAGTTAAGCTGTTCAAAAACTCAACAGGGAAATTATTTCTTTCATTAAGATCGTCAGTGTCTATTTGATCAGCACTTAAATAAGTTTTGACCTCTCCATGTAGACGTTCCAGCACTTCTTCATTGATTGACAATGAATCCACATTGGTGGGTGTTAAAATGACACGTTTAGCATAATCATCTTGTTGAGCATCTCCAAATATTTTTCAACAATTGATTCGTTTTCTCTAATAATGCACTGTTGCGGTATTTCAATACATCCCTTAAAAGGATCTTCCTCCTTGTCAGGTATTGTTCCACTACCAAGTTTTAACAGCCATTCGGAAAAATCTCCTTCTCCATCACGTACTCTCATATTTTCAGTTAATGTAAACTTCTGCACCCATTGCCACTGTAAAGAACATTTTATACATTATTCTACAACTTCAGCTGGTCTCCCTCTTTTCACAACAGGCAAAATTTGCCTAAAGTCACCACCAAAAAGAATGACTTTTCCTCCAAATGGAAAGTTGTTGTTGCAAACATCTTTTAACAACCGATCGATTGCATTTAAAGCGTGTTTGGGAATCATGGATGTCTCGTCAAGCATAAACAAACTAACTTGCCTTAAAAATTGTCCCTGAATAGAGTTAGGAGTCACATTACATGTGCTGTTATCCAGTATTGGGACAGGAAGTTTAAATAACCCGTGCAGCGTAGATCCATTTGTAAGAAGAGTTGCTGCTATGCCAGTCCATGCAGCTGTAGCATTAACACCCCTACTGCTCATTTCAGCAATCAAATAATTATATGTAAAAGTTTTACCACTACCAGCTGGTCCATCCATAAAAAACAATCTGGAATGTTGATTTTCTACACATGGTTGCTTATTCAATGCAGCAAGGACAGCATTACTTACATTTAATTGATTGACATTAAGAAGCGGTCTCATTCGATTAGCTTCGTCAATTGATTGCTGAACATTATCATTTAAATTTTCTAGATTAAAATCTATGAATTCATCAACAACAGGCAAATTATAATCAGATAGCGTTTTACCACTTTGATTAATAATCTTTTCGATTTGAAGAAGAGTAGCTTGTTCAGCTAATATAAATGGAACTTGGCGATGAATGATAATTGATGAATGAAAATTAAGCCTCTTAATTTTCATTCAATAAAATTAAGATGAATGAAAATTAAGCCTCCATCATAAAGGCTTTGTATGAATTCCAAAGATGCAAAGGGTCATCAGGTTCACAAAAGGTTAAAATAATTGAAAACAGCTGCCTGATTTGCTTAGGCATTCGCGTTAAAACTGCCTCAGAAAGAGTATTCTGCCATTCAGTGTCATCTTGCAACAAACCATTAAAAACACACGCTTCACGAAAGGTTTCAAGAACTATTCCATTAACAGTACGCAAATCCTCCCAAGATTTTGCTCCTTTTGCTTGTAAAAGTAACAATCTAAGAAAAAATAATTCTCCTGTTGGACTAACTTTATACATTCTTACTATCACCTTATTTCCACCTCTTTGTCTAACCTTCCATTTACAATGTTTATCATCAAATACAAAGTGATATGGAATGTCAACATATGAATAGCGATTGGCTCCTTCATTTTCAGAATTCAATTTAAACCAGGCCGTAAGGTGTGTATTACGTTGAGCAGCACGATCTAACGCCACTTGTTCTTCTCCTTCTCTAAAATACACAATTTGATTCTCAGGAAGATGAACCTTAAGACGGATAATAGAGTGTGACATATGACTTATGGGATACTCAAATATTCGCCACAGCGCCTCAGGTGCACTAACATAACGACAATCTAAGAAAGTGTTTATTTCATCGTGATTAACCTGTTCATTTATCAAAACATTCGCACAATCATGCCCTTTGTATATGTATTTATACAAATATTTAACAGCCTTTACAGACATGCAAGCTTCAACATTAATGTGGGCTTGATATTTCTTTGATAACCAAGGATTATAAGGTACCACCCAACGGTTATCTACATTGTTGCCTTTAATATTGATAACCAAGCCATTATCACGACGCCTATAGCGCGGATAACCATTGTGAACAGCTACTGTGTTGGCATTAAAATCTTTAGGATATTTTTTGCTGCACACCCCATCTTTCATGCAGGGAGAACTTGGATTCAGTATCCCACATGGGCCGTGAATCATGCAAGTTTTGATAATATCATAAAGTTCACAATTAAGTATCGGATCTGGAATTTCTGCACAAATCAAATTATCGATATCCTGTGATGTTTCAAGTTTATCATCATTTGCTAAATGAAGTAAAATGTGGGCATGCGGCAAACCACACTTTTGAAACTCAATAACCCGAACATGCGTTACAACTTTGCCTAATACACCATGTTTGAATATATCATTGAGGAGGTTATTTAACTTGAGTTTAAATACTCGAGTAACCAAATCAGGTCTATCATTCGCATTCTGACCCGGATATAAATTTTCTGTTATTTCACGCCATTTTGGGTTGCAAGTAAAAGTTATAAAAAGATCTGGTTTACCATACTTTTTAATAATTGCCATAGCATCTTCAAAGTTTTCTTTTAAAGCTCTAGGACTTCCTACATAAGATGATGGCAAAACTACTACTCGTCCTGGTCTAATATTACGATCATTGGCAATGTTGTTAATATGTTCATGAAAGGCATCGTACTGCTCGCTTCTCAGCTTATTTTGATTATTTCTGATAAAAGCAAGACGCTGGCCTTCAATTTTTACATATGCATCTACAGCATACTGCTGAAATAGTTTCTTGCCATAAAATAATGAACAGAAAAATTGCCTAACAGAAAGTCTATAATTGTAGAACTGAGATAATGTAACATGATTTCTAACCAGTGTGGCACGCTGAGGGTTATGCACCAATTGATTATGCCAACCAGCATCACCTCTTGGAAAAAATAGCGGATAAACCATAGGATCCAAGTTGGCTGACATACTTGATACAATTTTTAAAGGATGACCTCTTGGGTAAATAACAACTTCCCTGGAAGTTGGGGGAGCACCATCTTCGCCAACAAATACAACTGCAACTTCATCATGTGAAGGTAGATTATAACGACGTCTATCACCGCCTTCAAGTAAAGACATTTTTACAACAGAAGCTGAGCGACCTTCTATAGCCGCCTTACGAATTTCTTCATCTTCTACTTCAGCCATGTTTTTAAATGCAAGAGCAAATGGACTTTGTTCCATAATTATAGCTTGCAATTGAAACATTAAATCACGTAAACAAAGATCATTAGCATAGTGTTGCATTCTAAAATTTAGTGCAGCAAGTGGATCATAAGTATATAGTTGAGAATATATTGGTGGAATATCTTGATCTGGCCTAAGATTACCTACACGATGAAAAATCTGGCCACATATTTTAAAACATGGAAGCCCATGATTCATTGGTTGAACTACATTTGCTGTAAAAGAAGCAAAAGAAAGGCAGGCATTATAATTTCGAATATGTTTTAAAAAATTAGCATTAGCATTACAATCTACATAACTTCCTGTAAACAAATCCTGTAAAGCTTGTGTAATTGGTGAAAGTGGAGGCAAAGCTACCTTACCATTATGGCAACATAGAAAATGTGTTTCATCTGGAAATTTCTTAGCACCACAGTGCTGACAAATTTGATTCATTTCTCCTAAATAATTATAATCTGGAATAGCATTACTTCTCGCTATAGAATACATTCGTCCTTGTCCAACAGCTCTTCTTTCATTTTGGCGACGATTAACATTATCTCGATCGAGCCTATTTCTTTCATTTTGGCGACAATTAACATTATCTCGATTGAGCCTATTTCTTTCATTTTGGCAACGATTAACATTATCTCGATTGAGCCTATTTCTTTCATTTTGTAAACAATTTATTTCATCTTGCCTAAGTCTATTTCTTTCATTTTGTAAACAATTAATTTCATCTCGCCTAAGTCTATTTCTTTCATTTCGTCTACGATTATTTTCAACACGCCTTGTAGCACTTACATCATCTTGTAAATACAAAACTACATCTAGCCTATCATCCATTTCAATGTCATCATTTTCATTAAACATATTTAATAAAGCAACACTAATTAATTCTTTTTTTTTTACTAATCTAAAGTTAACAATAAAATAAAAAAACTTATTAACTAAAAAAATCATACTCAAAAAATTAAAAAAAAAAATTTTTAAAACAAATATATATAAAGAAACCAAACAAATGCAAAATAAAATTAATTTGCCCTCATCAAAAGTAATACAGGTTTCTTGAGTTTATTTGATAGAATTTAAGAAAAACCTGCAACCACATCAGCAAAAACTTATTAAAACTTATTTTATTTCTAATAAAAAAAAAAAAAAAAATTGCGACAGCGTCATAGTTCATGCTTTGGGAGAAAACATTGAACAAAACACCTAATAAAACTTATTAATGCATTATTAATGCATTATGTACGATAGAAAACAGGTTATTAACGCAGGTTTATAAATTTTTTCCTCCTAACACACTATTATGCTGTTGCAACTCCAAGGATATATATAGTTATATATAGTTATATATATATATATATATATATATATATATATATATATATATATATATATATATATATATATATATATATATATATATATATATATATATATATAGTTATATATATATAGTTATATATATATATAGTTATATATATATAGAACTATTTATTAGTGAAAACATATGAAAACCAAAATTTTTTATATAATATATATAGTATATATTTGATAAATAAACCTCTACAATTTCTTTGGTTCAACAACTCGATAATGATTAATAACAACTCTGTAAACATGAATTTTCTAATAATTTAAATCTTAATAAATTATAACAATTAACTACTTATTTAAACAAATAATTACTTATTAAATTTTAAAAAGATTTTATATATACGTAATGTCTACTTAGAAATACTTAATGTCTATTTATACATTAAAAAGATCTACAATTTTGAAAACCTGAAACTTTTAATCTACCTCAAAAAAAACAGATATATATTGAAAAGTATTTTTATTTCTTTTTAAAAATTTAAAAATGTTTTTTAACTTACTCCCTCCAATATTATTATATAATTTATAGTATATATTGATAAATAAACCTCTACAATTTCCTTGGTTTAACAACTTTTTTAAACTTGGTTTAAAAAAATTTCTAATAAATACATATTTAGATACCTTAAAATGAAGCATAACACAACACTCTTTTGACAAATTCCAGAAGAAATTTTTTTAATTTTTTTATTTCTTATTATTTTTCCTTAGAGAATATATATATGTAGATATAGAGAAATATAAAATAGACTGAAATAAATTGAAAACCTTAATTTATGTATGAGAAAATAACTTGAACTTACTAAAAAAGCGATCAGCTTCTCTTAACTGCTCTAAAAAATAAAACAAATACTGCTTAAAATGTTTTAAAAAGACTAACGACAAAACTGTTTTCTTAAAAAAGAAACATTGTACTAAAAAAAACTATTTTACCAGTCAATTTAGTTCTAACTTATTCTAAAAAATGAAAAATAAATACATATTTAGATACCTTAAAATGAAGAATAACACAACACCCTTTTGACAAATTCCAGAAGAAATTTTTTTTATTTTTCTATTCTCAATTATTTTTGCTAAGAGAAAATACATATAGATATACATATATATATATATATACATAGCAAACTAACAATTATTTAAATTTTTATTTTAAAAAATAAACAACATTAATTCTTCTTGAAAATAAATGTATCAACTCCAATTTGATTGCTGATTTTACTCGAATGGACCGCATGGAATATATAACTGCGCTTAGAAAATTCTAGAGGCAAAGAAATAGTGTATTTTACATAATGCAGAACCGTAATTAACAAAACGAACAATAGGCGTAACAATGCGTAACTATGCGCACTATTAATAATATTCATAGGCTATTCATTATAGGCGATTATATCAAATTTTAAATAAAGATTTTACAATAAACATTCGGGCTTGTTATGTTCATGCATGGACAAACAGGGTGTTTTATTTAGTTCTTTGGATTCTGGAGTCAATAGAGTTTTACTAGTTTCAGTACAGCTCTTACTTGATAATATTAATATTAAATCGTCTGGATTTGATAGGTTATTCTCATTAACAATAAAGCTGTGATCATTTTCATCGCTTGTATTATTTGCATTTTCAACTGAAAGCAAAAATAACGATTACTACACATATCTACATTTTAGATATAAATTATTTACATTTAATAATAAATAACATAACAATATGAAGTATAAACAATAAATAACAGAACAATATGTACCTATATGTATATATATTTGCTAGAAAGCAAAATTAATAAAACGTATGGTTTTCTAGCTAAATAAACTTACCCGACGATGTGTGAAGCTGTTTATCTGTAAAGCTAAAATATGTTTCTAACTTAGCAGTCTTTAAAAGTATTTTTGCTTGAGCTTCATTTTTTGCATGGGTTCGTTTTCGGTTTTCTGCGCCACTAAGCTTTTTACTATGAATCATCATTGCTTTTTAAAATAAGAATCCTAAAAAGTGTGTATTATATATATATTGTTATCATATATATATGATAACAATAATGTTAATACTAAAACTAAAAACAATAATCGAAATACGAATATTTACCTTTTTGAAGACTGTATACTGTAATACAAGGGATTAAGCAGACAACATACCGAAGAACAAAATACTTAGGCCAACAATAAAAAAAACTGACAGCAATCTTAAAAATTCAAAATTATATTGTGCACACGTGGTATATACAAGATGGTTAGCAAAAAAGGCGATCAAAGTCAAATTGCTAATTTAATATAATTAATGCGTAATTTATTCTGCTCTTCACTTCAAATTATATAAAAATAAATTAAAAAACAAACTGATTATTTAAAGTTTAAAGTATTTTTAAAGAGTTTTTTTTTTTTAGAAAATGTAAAGAGAATCTTTGAAAAATTATTTCATTTTTTAAAAGTAAATAGCTGTGTCTATACCTAAGTATTTCTGTTAATAAAGTCAATTAAGAGTAAAATGAAAATGTTAGGTAAAACGCACCATTTATTTTTTTCTAGTATATTATTTACTAATTAATAAATAAGGATCAAGTATTTGATTAATAAAAATTATAAATCATTTATTCAAAAAAATATATAAATTTTATTTATATCAAGATTAGAGGTCTACTCCTACACTCGTAGGAGTAGACCTCGGAGCGCCAGCGTCAGAGTGATGAGCTTAACCGTTAAGCTATCGCTACATACCGTATCATTAAAATATTTATAATAAATAAATAATTTGTTTAGACAGGTGACTTTCAGTATCAAATCAACGTTTTTAGATGAATAATTGGCGCATAATTATGTATAATTTGCAAGTTTAATTTGATCTCCTTTTGATTGATATTTTCTTCTGCTAACTAAATTTTTCTAAAATCAACTAGAGATATTTAGTAAGTCGATAAGTAGGTCTATGATTTGAACATAATAATAATTTAAAAATTTTCGTGAAATGATATAAATAGACTATTTTACAATTTTCTAAAATTCTAACATTCTGAAAGCTGGCGCCCTGTCAAAACATGGCGCCCGGGGGCAAAAGCCCCCCTTGGCCCCCCCGTAAATACGTCTCTGCCCACATGATGTATGAATGTGAAAAAGTACAGCCATTAATATTTTATGTTCTAGATATTTTTCCAGTGGGCACACAACGTTATTTCGACGTTGATTTACAGTTGATTTTTAGTCGCGACGTCGTATAACCAAAAATCGACGTTGAATCGACGTTGAAAAACTTGTTTAAAACTATCAAATAAAATCGACGTTGATTCTACGTTAATTTAACGTCTATATTACGAGTTCGACCGTTCGTAATTGCAATATGAGAACTAAAATACGCATGCGTGACTTAAAATTTTATCTATTAGCATAACAAATAACAAGAAAAGACTTAACAAGTTACTTATTAGCCCAATAAAAACAAGTAAAGTCACACATGCTAATAAATTAGGCTATCTGTTGCCTTTTTATAAGGTTTTGAATTTGACAATTTAACAATAATACATGGCTTAACTTGTGATGCAGTTAGTTAGGTAAATATTAAATGGATATTTCTTTATGACCGTATTGTTTCATGAGTGTGGATTACAAGTAGAGATTACTTAAAATATTTTTTCAGTTTTTTAAGTAAGTTTTTTTTTAGAGTTTGATTAAATTGTTTTACTTATGTATGTTAGTATATTTGACAATATATACAATATATATATATATATATATATATATATATATATATATATATATATATATATATATATATATATATATATATATATATATATATATATATATATATATATATATATATATATATATATATATATATATATATATATATATATATATATATAGGCAAGAATTACCTTAATTGGAACAGTTAAGGAATAATTATTTATTAACCTAAGATAGCTTTTTACTAACTAATGGAAAGTTTTATTGTGTTGAGTTTATGTATGAAAATGGATGATGTTTTACAAAATAATGATTTATCAAGCTTTTTTAACTATCCATGTGATTTAAAGAGTTTGATTATTTTTCATACTAAAAAATTTTTAAAGATTTTTCTTGTAAAGTTGTATAAAAAAGAATTTATGCTTGCTCCTTTAGTCCAAGATATTGGTTGGTAGAAGGATCGACATAAAAAATTAGCAAATTTAAGCAACTGTATAATATATCATTACGTACAGTTTAAAGTTGTATTTTTCTGTTAGCTATTTTACATGAACAAATTTTTATTATATGAGTACTTTTCTATTATATTTTCTACTATACTTTTCCAGTTAAAAAAGTAAATTAGGGCAAGCAAAATGTTCATTCGAGCTGTTTGGATAGAAAATACAGAGAAATAAAGAGAGAAAATTTGATTGATAATTTTTTGTGCTGGCCATCATGGTTAAATGTAATAAATTGTTTGAATGAAATGCATAAACCACAGTCTAACTAATGCAGATTTAAGCAGTTCAAAATTAAATGTCATGGAGATTTTTTATATAAACATTAAGTTATTCCTTTTTTCCTTGTTTTTTTAACATGCTTTCATAGTGTATATGTTATTTTCAGTGTTTAGATATATTCTTTATTATATATTCTTTATTATATGATGTATTTAAAACATTTTTAAATTGAATGAATGTTCTTAGATAATGAGTTATGTGATAAATTTGAATTTGCTACTACTAGTGATATTCAGATAGAATCAGATTTAGAAAACGGTAACTATATTACTATACTTAATTCAAGTATTATTAGTTTTATTTTGATGTTAAACTTTATAGGAGCCACTACCATGCTTATGCAAGAGAAAACATAGTAACCAACAGAATAGTAAGCAAGTACATACTCTTGTAACGCAAAAAAAGAAACAGAAAACAATTTTTTTTTGCATACTCCACATACTGTAGCTCAAGGTATTAATTGTCTGTCTGCAAGTTGATTTAGGAAGAAAAGATTCTGAACATTTTTTTTTATTCTTCAGTGATTTACACATTTTATTGGTTGCTAATTTATTACATTTTATTTAATTTATGAATAATGTTTTTTTTATAAATGTTTTGTTCTTGTGTTTCAACGCTTTTAGAAATTAATTTATTTTTTGTTTTTTGTCTTTCTGATATATCTATGTTGTTAGAAAGAAATGTTAGTAAAAACTCTTTCCAGTAATAAAGTAATATCATGACAAATAGTTCCGAAATTCTATGGATGAACTTGCAGCAGTAATTTAATGATTATGATAACAGTTAAAATGATTCTTGGGTGAGGTCAGAAGTAATGGGTTGTTTCAAACCATGACTTTTTGCAGTTTTTTTATTGTTTTTTGACAAAGTATTTAATAATAACTTAGCCTAAGTTATTCTACTTGTAACTTTTTATAAATGCATATATTTTTAAAAGCTTGAGGAATTCTAATCAGACATAAAATAAATCTTCTTTTTTTTATGTCTGATTATATTTTTTTTTGTAACTGTTTTCTCTTACTTTTGTATTTCCTTGAGCTAAAGAACAACCTTAAAGTACAAAGGTTGATTCGTAACGCATACTTAACCTTTTTTTTTACTCTATTTATACATACATATATATGTACATAAGTAAGCATACATATATATGTATGTATATATACATACGAATGCTTATATGAATATATATTATGTATATATATATATATATATATATATATATATATATATATATATATATATATATATATATATATATATATATATATATATATATATATATATATATATATATATATATAAAATAATGGTGCAATTTAAAGTTTTTTCTTTTATTTATAAAGTTGTACTTGATAAAAATAAATAAATAAACTTGAACATTTTGAATATTTATTAAATATTATGATAAATTAAAGTATAAATATTTTGCAAAAACACTTTTATTTGCAACAACTGCTTCATTGCATTGTGGCATGCTTGCAATTTATTTTTTATTGTTTCTGTCAACTCTGGGCTATTATGCTAGATCTTGATAATCTCTTCCATAAGATCTTGCTTACTAGTAAGTTTTTTTTTCCAATCTCTTGCTTTACTATTTCCCAAATGTTTTCTATGGGGTTAAGATCATGCGAGTTGTCTGGCCATAGCAATACATCAACTAAGTCATAACAGTTTTTATTGTGTGGCAAGTTGCACCATCTTGCATAAATATTAGATTTTTGACATTATTTTTTAATATTTTAAAATTTTTCTGTCAATTTTTGATTTTTTTTGGCTGGACATCAATCCCTCTTCTTTTAGCCTTCTACAAATGGTCCGGTCTGACACAACAATTACAGCTTCATGGATAAGCTTAGTGGCTTTTTTTCTGTTTTCCAGGGAGATATTTTTGATTATACTGTCTGCTCTTGGTGTTTTCTTGCATTTAGATGGTGGTCTCTTTGGACCAAACTCTTCCTCTGTATCAATTCCTTTTCTTACTTGCATTACGGTTTAGTAAGAAACCTTTGCGGTTTGTGCAATTTTTCATTGAGAATTATTTGTATTTTGTAAAAGAAATGTTTATCAATTTTTAATGTAACTATGACAATGTATAATGCAGGTTGTTGACCAATGGTTTATAATCAAAATTTAATATGGGTGGCGGTAAAGGTAAAGAGAAGCTTAAAGGAACAAAAATCAGGTATTTACTTGTAAGTAAAGTGTAAAATTATATATTTTTTTTAAAAATCACAGTTTGTTTTTTTAATGCTATTTTATTTTTAACTTTTTGATGTATTTGATGCAAATTACTCAGGCAATACCTTTTTTTATAGAGAACGTTTTGTCAATTAAAGTGACTGCTAAAGTTGCCGAAATAAGAAAATAAATAATGACTTTATTAAAATATTCACTCGACAGATCAAATGGTGGTGGTGGGTGCGTAAAAGACGATTCACCCGATGTATAACATTCATACTTTTTCCTAGTTGTTCTGGAACTATTGATATTAGTTATTATTGATAAATTGATAAATATATTACTGATAAATAAAACTTTTTTTTTTTAAACATTTCACTTTATTTGCATTGTATATAAAGTCCGTTGAAGCAATTTAGTTGTATTTGATTAATTTGCGTGAAATATAATATTCTTCGCGCAAACTGTTGCTTTTTTATTGTGTTAATTTATTGCAGTTAAAGTTGAGAAAACAAAAATCAACGTTGAATTTACGTTGTTTCAACGTTGTTCTAACGTCTTATAAACTACGTATCAATCGAATATATCACCTATTCAAAGTTAAAATATGGTTGATATGTAGTCGATAAGACTAAGGGTTAAAGAAAAACAGCGAAATAAAAAAAAACGAAAAAAAAACGTTTACAAAGATGCCCATCGGACTCGTTTAGAATAAAAAACTAAATTAAATATCAAACGAAAAAGTTAAATCAACGTTGAAACGACGTAATCATCGACGTTGTTTCAACGTCGTAGTTTTCGACGTCGGATTTTATTTCCAATTCAACCAAATTTCAACGTTGTTTCAACGTGGCATATGGTCGGTTTACGACGCTGTTTCAATGTTCTTTCAACGTCATTGTGCCTGCTGGGTTTAGACCAGCTCTACCCTACTGAATACCCTCATAATAACAATTTTAAATTTCTTTTATTTGGATACGAAAAAAACGCAGCCCAGAGGCATTTTGGCGTTTTATTATTAGAAAGTTTTATTTGTGAAATATTTTTTAACAGAATGAAAAGTCAAATTCAAAACAAAATTATTACTAAGAAATGTTTGTTACAAAAGTTTGAAAGAAAAACTAAACGATTATTTTTAAACAAATTACTTATGCTAAAGCAACAAAATAAACAAGAAAAACACATAAATGAAATAAGAAACATTTTTAAAAAAGAAATATTAAATTTGATGGCAGATGTTCGTGACTATTTCGTATAATTTTTGTGTTTTTTTTTTTTCTTCGTTCCTTTTTTTGATTTTTTTTTTTTTTTTCGTTTGATATTTTATTTAGTTTTTTATTCTAAACGAGTCCGATGGGCATCTTTGTAAACGTTTTTTTTTCGTTTTATTTTTATTTCGCTTTTTTTCTTAAACCCTGTAATTATTACGAGGACGTCAATATGGCAATTAGCCGGATGACGGAATAAATTACAATACTACAAAAATACAAGTATAAATATATAGAGAGAGTTAATAATAAAAAAATACGAAAACTGGAAGGTAATTTAAATTTCAAGCATTTAGAATGTAAAGTATTTTGAATCAAGTTCATAATCGAAAAGTTGAATATTGTACTACTATAGTGACGTCACAACATTCTTGAACCTTAAAAAAGACCTTGGGTCGACACGGTTTTAATACAGATTTATAATGGAATCATTGCATTTTCATAAGTCATTTTCAAATAGCTTCTGATTGTTTGCTAACTACCTTATCAACTATTTCATTAAGATATATCTTAGTCTATATATAGACCAAAACAGGTTTATAATGCTGACGATTTTGGCTTGTCTTGTTACGCTTAACCTTTACGTTTCGAAGTACGCCTTTAGCGTTTCGGTTGTTCCTAAGTATGCCTTTTGGCGTTTTTAAACATACCTATTCATTTTACTCTAAAGGTGAGTTTCCACTCATCCGTTTTTCTATAGGAACGGGATAGGAAAAGAAAAAATAATCACGTGAGCATGCGTACTTTTACTTTAGATAAATTAAAACTTATAATACGCATGCCCACGTGATTATTTTTCCCTTTTCTTTCCCGTTCCCGTGAAAAAACGAATGGGTGGAAGCTAACCTTAAAACCCAAAAACTAAAGAGTTTTAAGTCTAACTTTCGATTTTAAATAAACTGTCGACAGCAGTCCACAACAGATAAGCTTTCCATTGTTTTATTTTAAACTTTGTTTATATTTTTATTTTAAAAACCATTTATATTTTGACTTTCTGAGGTCGCCGAATAACACAATCCCAAGTTAAAAACATTATTGATGAACTCAAAAATAGTAAAAATAACTATACTAATGATAAATAAGAGATTTTTCATGATTGTATAAACACTTTTGTTTTATTTTTTTTAACCTAAAAAATTTAATTTAAGATTTTAATTTGGAATCTAAAATGTTATTTGTACTTCTTTTCAACCTTGTTTTATAGGCATTTTTTATGTATAGTATATGTAGAAAGTACTAAAGTACATGTAATAAACGTATATTTAATTAAGGTAAAACACAACTACTCTATAGAAACGTATTTTCATGTTCTTTATATTTTAAAAGCAGCAAGGTATTTTGTTAGTTTCTTTTATATTTACTCACAGTTTTGCTAAAACTATGACTACAAATTGTGAAAAAAATAAAAGTGCTGTTATATTTTATTTATTTTATTTAAATATGCTTATAGGATGTAAAAAAATTGAATTTTATTACCTACTGTTTCCGCCTGTTTTTCTAATAGTGTCTTTTTATTGAAAAATGTGCAATATAAAATATAGCTTGAAAAAAGAAAGTGTTTTAGACCATCACTGTATAAATATTATAATAGGTGAAGTATCAACCTATATAATCTATGTAAATATACTTATTTGCCTTTCAGAAAAATTTACTTCAAGGTTTATAAATTATAAAACTTTACAAAATTTTATTTTTAATATACCAACAACTTTAGCTAAAAATACTGCGGGCTGAGTGATCAAACTTAAAAAATTAAGTGGAGTCTAAAGGTTAACCAAACAAATCTTTAGTTTTTAAAATTGAATAAAGCGG